GACAGTTCCTTCAGGTTTCCTCCCCTGCCCCTACCTGCTGGCTGCTAGTCTCCTCCTCCCTACAGAACTTCCTAAAATAGACATTCACTGATGCTACTTTCTCACCTTATAGTCAGCCCTCAACCTACCAAAATGGCCTTCTAGTGAAAGAGAATGGAGGTTCCTCAAAAAATTAAATATCGAACTACCACATGATCTAGCAATTCCACTCCCGGATATTTATCTGAAGAAATCCAAAACACTAATTCAAAAAGATATACACACCCGTTTATTTATTGCAGCATTATTTACAATAGCTGAGATATGGAAACCTAACTGTCCATCAACAGATGAATGGATAAAGAAGATGTGGTACATATATACAATGGAATATTACTTGACCATAAAAAAGAATGAAATCTTGCCATTTGACACAACATGGATGGGCCTATAGGATATTATGCTAAGTGAACTAAGGCAGACAGAGAAAAAAAATACCATATGAATGCACTTATATGTGGAATCTTAAAAAAAAATACACAAACAGACAAAGCAGAAACAAAGTCACAGTTAGAACAAATTGACGGTCACCAGATGGGAAAGAGGTGATGGGTAATAAAGGGTGAAAGGGATTAAGTACAAATTGCCTGTTATAAAAATAGTCACAGGGATGTAAAATACAGCACAGGGAATATAGTCAATAATATTGTAATAACTATGTATGGTGCCAGATGTATACTAGACTTATTGTGGTGATCAATCCGTAAGGTATATAAATGTCTAGTCACTGTGTTGTGCACTTAATATAATATTATGTCAACTATAACTGAAAAATAAATTTCAAAGAATTTTTAAAAAGAAAGAGAATGGCACTGACATAGATAAGATCAACACAATCTTCCTTACTGCTTATCTAAAATGATCTCTTTGTAGCATTTGATACTTACTGACCACTCTTCCTGCCTCTCTGGCTCTGCATCTTGGTCACCTTTGTGGGTTCCTCTTCCTGTGCTGTCACTAAAGGTAGTGCACCACAATTCTAACCTCAGGCCTTCCATCTTCTTATTTTATATCACTTCCATGATAAACTTCATACATGCCCCTGAGCACCCAAATACTGATGACTCCAAATGTATTTGCAGCCCCAAACTCTTTGCAACTCACCTGGGAATCCCACACACACTTCACACTCAGCACATTAAAACCTGAGCTAATTCTTTATCTCTGTCCCCCACCCTTTCAAACTATTTTTCTTCTAGTATTGCCTATTCTAGCAAATGGTACCATCACTCCCCCCCGCCAATCACCCAAATCCCAAGCCTGGGAGTCACCTGAACTTCTCTCTCTTGCCTCATCCTCACTCACAAGTAGTCTTTTACTAAGTTTTACTAACTTTACCTTTAAAATTTTTCAAATCCATCCTCTACCTTCCACTTGTTACATCTCTTTTATTCTCTCTCAGATTTTCATAACCTGGACCCCAGGAAATAGTTTCCATTAGCTATTTCTCCCTCTTCATCTATCCAGCCATTCTTCACAGTGGTTGCTTATGGAGGCTGATCAATCTAAAATGCAAATATGATAGTATTATATCTTACTGCTCCAAATTCTTCAATGGATCCCCCATGACTAAAGTGTAAGATCCGAATTCCTATACATGATAAATAAGGCCCTTCATGATCAGCTCTATCCTACTCTCCAGCCTTATTTACTTCTCATCATTCCCCTTCTTATACTGGCAGTTCCCCAAGTGCACTATGTGCTTCAAATTTCAGTTCCTTTGCACACGCTGTTCCCTCTGCCTGGAATGACCCCTGGTCTAGCATGTGAATTCTTATCTCTTCTTTAGGACTAACTTGAGTATTACTTCATTTGCAAAACCTTCTCTGACCTCCCAAGTTAAATTGCCCACTTCCTCCTTTGTGCTACTCCTTATACTCTATCTCTATCATATTATGTATCACACTGCACAGTGTTGGTGTATATTTACTAGTTTATCTCCCCACTAAACCATGAGCAATTTAAGGGCAGGAATCTTGTCTTGTTCATCCTGTATCCCTGACATCCAGGTACCTCGTAGGTACTCAATTTTTGTTCGGATGAACAGAACTGAATTTGTACTAGTACCTCACTATACACACACACACATACACACACACACACACACAGTATTTGCTGATAATCAAATATTCAATGTTGTAAACAGGTGAATCTAAAACAATGGCTCATCTCAAAGACATTTGCTTATTATATGATCTCATTTACAATAGATTTCTCTTCCTAAATATTGTTTAACTCAGACTAATATTAAAATCAGTATGCATGCTCTAAGTACCCAACTATTTAGTAACAGAGAAAAATGTCCCAGAATTAAATACCGACTGTAGATAATAAAGCTATGTTAAAATGACTGAGAAACTACTAACCCTACATTCTCTTGTCTACAATACTCCCCCAAAGTGTCCTCATTCTCCCAGTATACCCACACTCCTGGTTCCACTGATGCATTACAGCTGTATCTGAGTCCTCTCCAATTCCTCCCAAAACTCTTTGGAAAACCACAACATTCAAGACTGTGAAGAATTTTCAAAGGTCAGAGACTCCTCCATGATCCAGAGGAATCCAGACAGGGAGAAAAAGGAGGGGCAAAAACCTTTAGAAATTTCACACAATTCTTGATTAGGTGGGAAGGAGAGATGAAAGACTATCTTAGCAGATTGTTTTTAGTTAATATGGGTCCTTCCAAGTGAAAGAAACAAAATACAACCTTCTTAGAAAAAAAAGAAAATATGACCAAATTCCACATTTAAAGAGACCTGTTATCATTAATTGTACAACCAAGGGATAATAACATGGGCCTAAAAGAAAGCAAAGAAGTGAAAAGAAGCCCTAACCGGTTTGGCTCAGTGGATAGAGCGTCAGCCTTCGGACTCAAGGGTCCCAGGTTCGATTCCGGTCAAGGGCATGTACCTTGGTTGTGGGCACATCCCTAGTAGGGAGTGTGCAGGAGGCAGCTGATTGATGTTTCTCTCTCATCAATGTTTCTAACTCTCTATCCCTCTCCCTTCCTCTCTGTAAAAAAATCAATAAAATATATTTTAAAAAAAGAAGTGAAAAGAAGTAATATGTGTTAAAGTTTTAGACATTATTTCATTTAAACTTCCAAACAACTCTAAGAAGTTTGTTTGTACTATTAACCCTACATTATAGATGAAGACACTAAAACTCACAAAGGTTAGGTAATCTACCCAAGGTTACAGAGGTAAAAAGGGGTAGGACCAGGACTTTCATGAACCCAACCTATCTGACTCCTGAGACCAGACTCTTGCACTGTACTACACTTAGTGCAGGGAGTTGGACTGAGAACGCATTGGAAGTCCATTCATATGGAAGTCCACTCTCACTGCTTCAACTCCTTTCAACTCACATTGACAGAATTGGCTCTGGGTTTAGACAGATCTAGGTTCAAATCTCCAATCTACTACTAAGGGCTGTGCAGTCATGGGTAAGTAATAGTCATTTTGTGCCTTTGTGTCTTTGTGTATAAAATGGGGAAAATAGCCCTAGCCAGTTTGGCTCAGTGGATAGTGTCGGTCTGCGGACTGAAGGGTCCTGGGTTTGATTCTGGTCAAGGGCATATGCCCTGGTTGTGGGCTCGGTCCCCAGTAGGGGGCGTGCAGGAGGCAGCTGATCAATGATTCTGTCTCATCATTGATGTTTCTATCTCTCCCTCTCCCTTCCTCTCTGAAATCAATAAAAATATATTTTTTAAAAAGAAAAAATAAATAAATAAAATGGGGAAAATATCTGCATTTCAGACTTCTTGTTAGGATTAAGTGACTTAAGATATGTAAAGCCTTTGGGGCAGTGCCTAGCACACAGTTAAGTCCTCAAAAAATATCAGTTGCCTTCTTTCTATCTAATTCTCTCCCACACACTCTGCTTCATTCCACTGGTGTCCAACACAGACCCTCTATCTTTCCTTCAAACACTCCCTCTATTCCTCCCAAACAAATCTTCCAGTCCTCTAATCCTGCACCCAGTCTCTATCATCCCCATTCCAGTGTCTTTCAACTCTCTGAGCCTTCAAGAAAAAATGTCATAAAGGGGGTCCTTTAGTTGTACCTTCTACCAGAAAGTCCCTCAAAAATAAAAGCAAGAGAAAAAGGTTTATCCTCTCCTAGATGTACAGAGTTACATTCATTCCCAAATCTCCAGGAACATCAATTTCACCATATATTTACTGAAATTCTAATGTCTTAATCTACCAGTCCTACTTCCCCACCTTTACTCCTTACTTCTCTACTCATTCCAGATTCAAAGATTTTATCTTTGTGAAGACCTTTACTCTCATACATGTTATCTATCTTTTGGATTGTTGGAAAGAAATGTTTACATCTCCTACTCACCATACCTAATACTGGAATGTTTCCTACCTCCACTACAGTATATACTCAGGGAATGTCTACTTTCTCCCCTAAATCAAACTTAAGAGAAAAATACTCAATGCAATCATATAATTTACCACTCCCCAAACAATCTGTTTACCATATGCTATTGTGGATACATACCATCACTATCACTGGTATGTGTCTGTGTCAGAACAAGATTTAACTTTTTTCCCCCCAAGAGTTTCTAGTTTTTTTAATCAGGCCTACAAATAGCAAAACAAATCTCTTAGAGACAAGTCTCATTAACAGTCAAAGGCTAATTTAAAGATCACGAAGAAGTTCACAGAGAACTCCTGATGAACTGGCATCTGTCTTTTCAGTGCTACTGATAAAAGGCTCCTTGGATTACAGTTATTTGGGAAATTTAATAATTTGGAAGGCTTGTACAATGGAAGTTGACCTTTGGAAAAATAAAGGCAGAGGGAGTCATAGAGAAAGTCTGTTATTATAATATTGGCACAACAACAGTAACTTGAATAGAAACAGCAATCATGTTAATGTTTATTTTTTTAGGTCCAGACCAGTATGTCTATTTGCCACACACAATAAATTTTTTGTTTTTCCTTTCAGGTAGGGCCAAGGATACTCCAAGGTTTGGTTCTTGATAAATTCAACTTTTAAAAAAATAGCCTGTAAAAACAAAAATTCTACTTGAGCCCTTAAAGATTCTGATTACTGAACTTTTGACATGAGAGAAAAAATAATACTACAAATCACCAGAGGCTAGTCCAGTAGCAAAATACACTGTTTCTCTAGAATCAATCCTTAAACATTCAATAACAACCCTCTCTCCCTTTTTTAAAAATATATTTTTATTGATTTCAGAGAAGAAGGGAGAGAGAGAGAGAGATAGAAACATCAATGAGACAAAATCATCAATTGGCTGCCTCCTGCATGCCCCATACTGGGGATCGAGCCTGCAACCCGGGCATGTGCTCTCAACCAGAATCAAACCCGGAACCCTTCAGTCTGCAGACTGACACTCTATCCACTGAGCCAAACCAGCTAGGACTTCTCTCCCTTTTTTATTCCTAATTAGAGGGCATTTCACTGTCAGTTATAGAACTTCCATTCAAGGGGAGAAGTGACAGAAAGAAAAAAATTCCAATTAGCTCTTTCTCTTCAATGAGGCAGAGGAGGCAGAGATGCAATTTTTGTGAAGACCCAGACTGGCAAAACCGTCACCCTCAAGAGAAGGTCAAAGCTAAAATCTAAGACAAGGAGGGTATCCTGCCTGACCAGCAGCGTTGATTTTTGCTGGCAAACAGCTGGAGAATGGCTATACTCTCTGAGACTGCAATATTCAGAACGAGTCCACCCTGCACTTGCTGTTTCATCTGCGGGGTGGTATCATCGAGCTCTCCCTCTGTCAGCTCGCCCAGAAGACTGCGACAAGATGGTCTGCCACAAAGACACAGAAGCACAAAATGACTATATTGTTACCCTGACTGTACCCCTGCCAAATGCCACAAGAAGAGCGGCCACACCAACAACCTGTGCTCCAAGAAGAAGGTTAAATAAGGCCCTTCTACCACCTCTTCAGCCCACAGGGCAGCCTCCTGCCTGAATCCCGTAGTCTTAGGGCCTCAATAAAGTTTCTCTTTCATTGTCTGGAGAAAAAAATTCAAAATTGCCAATTACTGTACTATCTGCAATTAGTTACACATAGGAAATACATTCACTTGGAAATTTCTTCTAGTAAGTTAACTTCCTTCTGCATATAACTACTAACTTTTTAAAGTTTTAAGCTCAAACATTTTAAAACTGCTGCCCTGCCAATGTGCCTCAGTTGTTGGAGCATCGTCCCATACACCAAAAGGCCACAGGTTCCTTTCCTGGTCAGGGTACATACCTAGGTTGTGGGTTCAGTCCCCAGTTGGGGCAAATATGGGAAGCAACCAATCAATGTTTCTCTCTCACATGGATCTTTCTATCTTTCTCTTTCTCTCTCACTTTCCCTCCCGAAGATCAATGAACATATCCTCAGATGAGGATTAAAAAACAAAACAAAGAATTTGCCTTTTATAATTTATATAATTCAGTTCAATTCTCCTTCTGCAAGTTCCATAAATGCATCTTTCCTGGCCATATATAAACCTCGCTGGAACACCTATAGGTCAGTATGTAAAACATTCGCTGGCACTTGCTGTTATCATAAAGTGCCTTGTAATATTAGTTGGCCTTCCTGATATTCACATCTTATCTCCAATTTGACTATCATTCACTCATTCAAAATTTACCAAACTGAATCCACCATGTACCAGGTGCTGCTCTAGGGCCTGGGGATACAAATGAAGAAAAGCCACAATCCTACCTTCAAGGCACTCCAGTCTGAAGAAAGAAATCTAAACATGTTATTAGTACCCAATGGTGTAGGAATAGGTATAGGAAGCAACCAGTTTAGCTGGATGGGTTAGGGAAGTTTCTCAAACTGAGTCTTTAGGATATGTAAGAGCTTACCAGGCTGGAGAACAAGATACATTCTAAATAGAATTCAGATCCTGTAGGTTGGCACCTTTCTTTTACACTTTTAAAATTTTTAAGTGTGCCTAACAAACTGCTTGGCACATAGCTGATGCCTAACAAATATTTGTGGACCTAAATTATTCATGTTAGCCCTTATGTGTGGATAACTGAGATTTAATCTATATCTAAAATAGGCATGTGAGCCCTAGCCGGTTTGACTCAGTGGATAGAGCGTTGGCCTGCGGACTGAAGGGTCCTAGGTTCGATTCCGGTCAAGGATGCATGCCCAGGTTGCGGGCTTATTCCCCGGTGTGGGTGTGTGCAGGAGGCAGCCGATCAATGATTCTCTCATCATTGATGTTTGTCTCTCTCTCTCTTCTCTCTCTCTCTCTTTCCCTCTCCCTTTCTCTCTGAAAATCAGTAAAAAAATTTTTTTCTTTTTTTACTGGTTTTAAATGTCATCATTCACCCCATAGATATGTAATGAAGGTCTATATGAACAAATAAATATATTTGTACAGCTTGTCCACAGAGAATAGTTTCTCATCTGCTGTAAATTTTTGTTTTTAAAGCACTTTAGCAAATATGTCATTTATTTTCTTTTTTTAAATATGTTTTTATTGTGTGTTTTTTTTAGAGAGAGGAAGAGAGAGCGATAGAAAAATAGAATCATTGATGAGAGAGAGAGAAAGCGATCGGCTGCTTCCTGCACACCCCTACTGGAGATCGAGCCAGCAACCCAGGCATGTGCCCCTACTGGGAATCAACTGGTGAACTCTTGGTTCATGGGTCAATGCTTAACCACTGAGCCATATGCTATTAACCATTTGTATGCGATACGCATCTATAGACACAAGCAGTGGACCATTTTTAATTAAATTCAAAATATCATGGCAGTTAACTGGTTAAGAAATCAAAGTAATAACTAAATTCTGAACAGGATAAAACATTTAAAAAAGCAAACAAAAAAAAAACAAGAAATAAAACACCAACTTTTAACAAATTACTTCTCTCTGTCTAAAGGGGTAAAATACCTGGAAGCATCAAAACAATCACTTTCCTCACAGTCACATTTATTCATATTTATTTGTAGGAAAGTTACATTTCTTCCTTTTAAGGAAGGGCCACCATCAACACAGCAGCATGCAGGTCACTGCAATTTTCCCCTAATGAAAACCATAACCTCCCGACTCAATCATTCAGTGAGCATTTATGAAGGACCTACTCTGGGCCAGGCAGTCTGCTAAGTGAAGGGGACACAGCAACCAGTAAGTCATTATCCCTGCTTTCTATAAGTTCATCTAATGGGCTGGTTCCAGAGTCAACCCCAAGATAGGTATCAGCTAATTTCCTTTATTCAACAAAGATTTACTGAGTGCCGGGCACCAGAAACAGGGGGAAAAAATGAGGAAATTCTAAAAAGAGATCCTTTCAAAATTTACTAAACAACTTGCACTTTTGAATTATTAAAACTGCATGTTCTTCTCCAAGAATGCCAACCATCAGAAGTTGGCTGTAAAGGTTTTTGATGATAACAACTAACCAAATATTTGAGTCAAAGATACCATTTCCCTAATCCTACTACTTAGTGAGACCAGACAGATACTATCCTGGACTGATACATTTTTATTATTTATTTTAAGATCCATATTGTGGTTGATCTTACCAACAATCGGAGATAAGTTGTTTCCTCTGTAGAAAGATGCTTCCAGTAGAATGCACTATAAGCCTCTCAGGTCAAACATGTGACAAATCCTGTTACACTTTCTTGCCACCATACAGTTGGTCAAAGCAATATAGGCAATTCTTCACGATGACATAGCACCAGGCCAAGTTTTCAGGGTGACAGGTCTCTGCTTTTCCTTCTCCCTTCCACAAGAAGTACAAAAAGTATCAATTAGTAAACAAGTCATCTGGCAAATATCCCATTTTCCTCTGACTTCTTCTTGAAATTAATCCAGGAAACCAACCCAATTAATATTTTTAATATTATTGATAGTGGTGATGAGAGCAACTGCTAGCTTGCAGTTCACAAAAGACTTGAAAATACATTACACCGTTCAATGAAAAAGATGGAGAGAGGATAAGAGGAAACATTATAGGCAACTATCTCAAATATCAAAAATTAAACCCAGTTTAACTGGAATTGGAAAGCAAGTATTTTCAATTCTACCAAAGGGTCAAGTTATTTCTATCAAAAAAGCAGACGATTGACTCTAGCAATGCCAAAATCATAAATTTCCTCTTAAATGTGTCCTTAAATGCTAGGCCTAATTGATTCAAGTTGTAAATGTTAAGACCACAGTCTCAGCAAGAATCTGATACTATAAATCTTTGTTACCCCAACCCCTTTCCCAAATGTTTTACCCATAATTTAAGGCTCAATAAATATTCTTTGGAAGAAATACTTAACAATGAGGAAGCTGCCCAAGAAAGACAAACTGACAACACACTTAGCATTCAAGTACCTTTTTTTAAGATTTAACTAACACTTATTGTGCACCAATAAAAGCACTAGGTTAGACACAGCCACATAAATCATCTCATTAACCTCATGAGCATGCCTAGATACACTTGAATCCCCAAAACTAAACTGACTGGATCCCCAATACTAAATTGTTTTAATACTTGCAATCTTGATCCTACCTAAGTAATCCCTAGAACTCAACTGGAACTCAGCTCTTCACTCTCACAGACTGAAAGCATTTTTAATGCTTTCTACTAGGTAATACTCACCAAAAAATTCCTTGTGTCTATTTTTAAGCTCCTAACTCCAGAATAAACACCATTCTTCCCAGTATGGCACACTGTGATAATGGCCACAATCCAAACAAGTACTCTTCTTGAATCACTCTAGTCAGAGAATAAACCTAGAATGCTAACTAACAAATGAATTTCAGCTGGGCAGAAGACATTGGATTTTAAATAGTCTTCCCAACCTCGGGACTATTTCCTAGTCATCTGAATACAAAAGCCTTCTCTATTTGAGTGAATCACAGAAGGCAAATTTGACCCGAGGTTCATCAGAGAGAAGTGGGGGAAAAAGAAAAAATATTCCAACTGGCATGACTACATTACAATGTTAACAACACATTACTCACCATTGTACTACAAGAAAGAACTTGCAAGTGGGCAAGGAACATTCAGGAAGCCAAGGAAACAAACAAAACTCTCCCAGTCCTCAAAGCACAAACACATTCAAGTGCCAAAGCAGGTCACACTGTCCAGTTGATCCCCAGGTATGAGTGGGTAAAGAGGGAGTGGAAACGGGAGGGGAAGAGAGGAAAAGCATTATTGGGCAGGTGTGCTTGTCAGCACCAAGGCAGATTTCTTTCTTGAATTCATCAAGAACCTTTTTAACAAAGAAATACTGGGAGTTCCACCTATTTTTATCACTTGATATTTATATAATCACAGAGAACCAGCAATATATGTAAATGGCAGCATATTCTGATAATGGTTGCAGACATTCCCTTGGGAATCCATCAGATGTATTTCTAAATCCTAGCTCTGTCACTTTCTTTTTTTTTAAATATATTTTTATTGATTTCAGAGAGGAAGGGAGAGGGACAAATAGATAGAAACATCAATGATGAGAGAATCCTTGACTGGTTGCCTCCTGCACGCCCCCCCACAGGGAATCAAGCCAGCAACTCAGGTATGTGCCCTGACCGGGAATCGAACCCTGACCTCCTGGTTCATAGGTTGATTCTCAACCACTGAGCCACTTCTTGCTGTGTGATCTTGAGCAAGTTATTGCACTTCTCTGTACATTAGCAGGAACCTCATCTCATATTCACTGTGTTATCTATCCTCAGCACCTTAAACAGTGCTTAACTATTTTGGATGAATTAATAAGTATTCCCTTAACACAATAATAAATATTTTGAATGAATTAACCTTTAAATAGGTTTAAAAATATCTATCATATGTAATTATTATGAGTATTAAATGAGGTAATATATAAAGTGCTTAGTATAACTCAGGGTAGGATCTCACTATTAAGTTTTCTTCCCTTTAATACCCAGCCAGATCAGAAGTTATAACAGATGAGTCATGGCAAGAATTAAGATGGGATAAGAATTACAGAAGCCAAGCACTAGATGTTTACTACTAGGGACCCAGTCATAAAATCCAGGAATATTTAATCTTGGCAGATGAAATTAAATAATGATGCCCTTATAGTACCTACATAATAAGTATTAGTTGATCCAGAAAATACTATTTTGAGTCTTCAGGTATCTGATATCAGACAGATTTAAAAGCCTGGTTGAAAAGAAAAAAAGAGGAGCTCTAGCCGGTGTGCTCAGTGGTTAGAGTGTTGGCCCATGCACCAAAGGGTCATGGGTTCAATTCCCAGTCAAGGACATGTACCTAGATTTCAGGTTTGATCCTCAGCCCTGTTCAGGGTGCGTGTGGGAGGCAACCAATCAATGTCTCTCTCTCACATCAATGTTTCTCTCTCTCCTCCTCCCCCCTCCCTCCTTCCCATTCTTTCTAAAATCAATGGAAAAAATATCCTTGGGTGAGGATTAACAAAAAGAAAAAGAGAAAAGTGGGAATGAGTTGCATCTTAAATATACCTGTATACATATTTAAAAACCAAATATAGCCAGTTCAATTCCCAGTCAGGGTATATGCCCAGGTTATGGCTTGATCACCAGTAGGGAGTGTGTAGGAGGCAGCTGATCAATGTTACTCTCACACATCAATGTTTCTCTCTCTCTCTCTCTCCCTCTCTCTCTCAAATCAATAAACACATTTTTAAAAAATCATATATATATATATACATGATTTCTTAGAAGGCTGTTCAATTCCCTAAAAACTTCCCATTAGCAAAATAAATTTAAAAAATTTTGATTCACAGTATTTACTGGCTTTTTTTAGGTAATAAGATCAGTGCAAGTAAATTGTTCTTAACTGCTGATAGGGTAAACAAACATGAAAGATTTGGGTCCAAAACTCTTCTCCTCCTTTTACTCCAGAAAGACTAATGGGGCCTTTGAGGCTACTTCACTGACAGCTTGTAATCAAAACAACCTATCTACACACAGGGGGAAGAACTCTTTCATCTTCAAAACTAAAATTCGGAGAGTAAATGCAATTAAATCCAAAATTTGGAGGAATATTTTTCCTTGACTATGAAGAACTGAATCTCAGAGGAAGATAGCTTGAAGAAACCGGAGCCACTGTTGCATTTGAGCCTGATAGAGAGATGTATATATATGTAGTGTCTAAATATGAGGAAAACCTATGCAGAACTGAAACAGCTTGTGGTTAAACCTCATCATAATGTGGTCTTGGACTTCCCATTTCACTTCCCAGGCATCTGCTCTTTTAACCATTAAACCCATCTCCTAAGCAATACAATACAGTAGAAAGAGCACTGAATGACAGTCAAAAGAATGGGCTCTACACCAAGTTTTACTACTTAAACCAGTTGTTTAAATTCTCTGTATTCAGTATTAACTGAGAATGTGGGGTGAGAGTGCTCTTCAAAAATTTCCACCCAGGTATCCCTTTGGAGAGATATATCAGAAACTAACCAAACCCAGCTCTCCTACTGCTATAATCCAGATTAAAAACATATACATTGTTCTTATCTACCCCTTTCCCACAAAAAACAGTTACCAAATTCTATTTATGTTTCTTTGGATCACTCCAATCTTCCAGTTTCTGCACTGCCACCACTCCTCAGACTCCTTCCCAGGATTACGATAGTCCTCCAACTGCCCTCTCTTCCTCATTGTACACCACCCGGCTGAATCAATTTTCCTAAAGTACTAATTTACACATAAAATCTCCTGCTTGTGGCCTGGACAGTATGGCTCGGTGGTTGAGCTTCAACCTATAAACCAGGAGGTTGGGTTCAATTTCTGGTCAGGGCACATGCTCGGGTTCAGGGGCATGCAGGGGGCAGCCGATTGATGATTCTCTCTCATCACTGACATTTTTCTCTCTCTCCCCCTCTCCCTTCCTCTCTGAAATCAATAAAAAATAATTTTTTAAAAAAAGAAACCCTAGGATGCTCATCAGTCAAAACAGTAAAAGGTAAACTAGGCCATTAAAAAAAATTATCTGCTTGTGGATTTTTCACTCTAAGTATAAATCAAACTTCTCTGCCTGAGATTTAAGGTCCTCTCCAACTTACTAGTCTCATTGCTCTCCTCGGTGAAATACCATGCAACGAACTGTCTACTCAGTCTGCCCCCAAACCAAGTTGGGCTCAGCTCACTGCTCTCCTGCCTTGAATGTTCCCTCTATACTTACTCAGTCTTCTCCCCTGAGGCCTAGATTATCCTAAAGATAAAAATTTGCCTACCTACTACCTCTAACGCCATATAACTATATAACTGTACTCCTCACTTGACACTTACTACCCAAGAGTTAGTATTACTATTTATCTTTTTATGCATTCAGTCTTCACAACTAATTATTAAGTTCTTGATGACTTTTACTCTGCTATACCTGAAGCCTAACTTTTCAGAAGGCAGATAGCCAATAAAATGTTAAAGATATCTACTACCTCTATTTGATGGTACATATGCTACTAATAGCCTGTATTTCTCACATCTTGTTTTCTATACATGTATTTATGTATATATGTAACTATGTTCCGTTTAACCCAGAATATAAATTCCCGAGGGGCCAATTCTCCTACTACCTATTTAATTACTGGTTAACACTTCCTTGACATCTCCTTACAGCAACTTATCCAAATTCCAGTACACAGCGGGTATTCAATAGAAAGGAATTTATAGTCTCAACTAGGCAGCAAACGTCAAGGGAAATTTATGGATGATTTTAAATCTTCATTTCTAGAATGAACTAGTACAAAAAATTACAAGGATAACTTAGAGAAGTAATTT